CCTACAAAATTAGAGGTATGTATGGTATGTATGTCGGTTGGGGGAGAAAGACATACCTAGAAAAGAAGCGGTATGTCTGTATGTATGCATGGTCCAAACGTACATACCTCAAAAGCAGGGGTATGTATGTTTGTCGGAGACATAGAAGAGTCGTACATACCCATCATGTATGTATGTCCGGGGAAACATACATACCCTGTATGTATGTATGTATGTATGTAGGTATGTATGTATGTATGTCCGGGGAAACATACATACCGAGTAAATTACAGGTATGTATGGTATGTATGTATGTCTGGGTACATGTGCAACACAGACGTGTATGTGGCCAAAGAGTGCAGGTGGTATTTATGTATGTCAAAGGTATGTATATCTGGGGACACATACATACATACATACCTATTGTTTCCCCAGACATACATACATACCTATCATTTTCCAGGTCTGTATGTTTCCTACATACCTCGTTTGCGGAGGTTAGTAAATATCTAGCAGGCAACCCCTGCCTCCCCCCCCATCTAGGTATGTATGTATGTATGTATGTCGAAACATACAGACGTAGCAACTATGGGTATGTATGTATGTCTGGGTGTGAGTCTGGGGAAACATACATACCTAGAACATTATAGGTATGTATGTATGTCTGGGGAAACAAACATACCTAGAAACTCGAGGTATGTATGTATGTCAAAGGTATGTATATCTGGGGAAACATACATACCTGGAAAATGATAGGTATGTATGTATGTCTGGGGAAACAATAGGTATGTATGTATGTTTGGGCTAACATACATACTTTGTTTTCGGAGGTTAGTAAGTATCTGGCAGGTATCCCCTGGCTCCCCCCCTATCAAGGTATGTATGTATGTATGTATGTCGAAACATACAGACGTAGCAACTATGGGTATGTATGTATGTCTGGGTGTGTGTCTGGGGAAACATACATACCTAGAAAATTATAGGTATGTATGTATGTCTGGGGAAACATACATACCTAGAAACTCGAGGTATGTATGTATGTCAAAGGTATGTATATCTGGGGAAACATACATACCTGGAAGATGATAGGTATGTATGTCTGTCTGGGGAAACATACATACCTAGAAAACTATAGGTATGTATGAATGTATGTCTGGGGAAACATACATACGTAGAAACTATGGGTATGTATGTATGTCTGGGGAAACATACATACCTAGAAACTAGAGGTATGTATGTATGTCAAAGGTATGTATGTCTGGGGAAACATACATACATACCTAGAAACTCGAGGTATGTATGTATGTCAAAGGTATGTATATCTGGGGAAACATACCTTCCTGGAAAATGATAGGTATGTATGTCTGGGGAAACATACATACCTAGAAACTAGAGGTATGTATGTATGTCAAAGGTATGTATATCTGGGGAAACATACATACCTGGAAAATGATAGGTATGTATGTATGTCTGCGGAAACATACATACCTAGAAAACTATAGGTATGTATGTATGTCTGGGTGTGTGTCTGGGGACACATACATACCTAGAAAATTATAGGTATGTATGTATGTCTGGGGAAACATACATACCTAGAAACTCCAGGTATGTATGTATGTCCAAGGTATGTATATCTGGGGAAACATACATACCTGGAAAATGATAGGTATGTATGTATGTCTGGGGAAACATACATACCTAGAAACTAGAGGTATGTATGTATGTCAAAGGTATGTATATGTGGGGAAACATACAGACCTGGAAAATGATAGGTATGTATGT